CCTTTACTAACATTTTACATTTGGTTCCATAAACAAACTTGTCAAAAATTAATCATATGTATATTTATAAAAATTTCATGAATATATACTCTTTATTACTTCTGAAAATATATTATTCTAAAGGTGGAAAGTATTCACAACAGACTACTTAAATTTTCATCCTTCCCAGTATCTGAAACATTATTATGTATACCACTGTTGTCAGGGTAGCTTGTTAAGCCCCCAAATTCCTGTTTCTCCCCATTTGTTGGAGATAAGTCTAACAGAAACCGTGATTATGAGCTATACATTCCTTCTCCTTGCACAGTAAAAAATACCATTCTTCATTTCTTTTTTCTTTTCCTTTTTTCAGTCCAATTCAGCCTTTGGTTCCAGATTTTCATTTTTAATTTGCCCTAATAATATTCTCATTTTCAGTGGGTTTTCCAGAAACTCAAATATGTGTATTCTTGATATCACATTCATTGGATTTCTGAGGACTCGCAGATGGAGCTCTGAGCTTTGCAGGAGTTCTTTTGGCACATGTACTGTTATCAGGCCGGAAACCCAAGCAGAAACCAAATAAAGGTCCTTTTCCTTCAGATTTTATCTTATATTCCATCTGCAGAGATGTCCATTGCAGCTGATCCTTGTGGCCTTGGAATTCTCTTGGCTTTGGTTCATGGCAGCCACCAACACTCAAAAGTTGGGTACAGACTAGTGCCTCACTCTATGGCTGCAAAGCTGCCCTTCCTCCACCTTTCCAGGAGAGCTAGGCTCCCAAGCACAGAGAAGGCTGAGCAAAAACACAGGGAGTGGGCTGAGACAGTCCTAACTGGCAGTTTTCATATGCTTTGCGCTTTAGGGTTGCAGGTTCATTTCAGTGAACTAGCTATTGTCACTTTTCTTTGTTGACAGCCATTTTCCATTTGTCGTAGTTACACTGGTTTTTGCCTAGAAAATTAACATTTCTTGCACTGTACATGACAGCATCCTACTAAGGACCTGGTGATGTTATGGGAGCTGTTAGGGCCAGACCCTGGACCCTGACAGCCCTAATAAGCCAAATTCAACTACACACCCTGGATAGGCCACTTAAAGAGAAAGAATAATAGTGAAAATCCTAAGAAGGAGTTTTATTTGATGTGGATACATTGGGAAGAGGAACAAAGAGGTCTGGTGACCCCCCCATTTTAGGTTACAAACACTAGATTTAAGTTTAAATAGATGTAAGAGGTGTGCATAGCTAAGCAGTACTGTTACCATGTAGTGGTCTTGATGGGTCCTCTTTTTTCTGCCAGCCAAAGAATGAAAAGGAAGAAAAATGCTAAGTGCAACAGGCAGCAGCAGAGGAATCTCAGACCTGCAGCCAGCAGTAGACAGTCAGCCTATGAGAGGGGCTTTGACTAATTACAGACTAAGTGGGGGACACATAGCAGACAGAGACTGCAGAGGTGAGCCCTGGAGACTGAAGCCCAGTCTGCCCTTGGGGGCTGGGAAATTTAAGACTCTTTGAGGCCTTCAATTTGGGGTAAATATATCCTAATAAGACCCTGAATTTATAAGGCCATTCATCAGCAAACAAGTCTAAGTGGAAGAAGGGGGTGCCAGGCCCTTTGTTTTTAGGTGCCAGGCTTTGTCTAAGGTCGGGAAAGTGAGGAAGAGGCCAGAAGCTTTACATTTTGCTACCTAGCTGGGTCTCCTCCTTTCTGTCTGCCTGTCAGGGATCTGTCTAACTTTGGTCCCTAAGTCCTGCTCCGGACACAATATCACCATCACTGTCTAGGTTCCTGACTGTCCAGCAAGGTGGGCTGACCAGTCACCAGCACTAAGTGGAATGCCCTCCTGGGAGACAAACTCTCTTTCTCTGCCAGGAACTGTGGTCCCCCAGGCCTTTTCCTTCTCCCAGTACAAGAGGAATTTGTGCAAATTCTAATTCCACTGGCTGCATTGTCTCAATAGTCTGATGGCCAAGGGAAGGGACACATGTGTCTCTTCAGAGTATCTTATTCCTGCCAGCAAGGTAACAAGAATAAGTCAGAATTCCAGCCCATGAAATACTGGGGTATGGATGATTTGTTCTCAGAAACAGCAACTCACTCATTCTACAGCTTTCTGCCATCTCACATGTAGGGACAGTAGAGATAAGCCATGGTGGTTTCCAGTGAGCGTTGTACACAAGAGAAGATTCTGTTCTGTAGCCTATGCTAACCCCACCTCCACAGATCCAGCAACTGCTACTTTCCCCTTATCTGATTACGATTCTGTCTAAGCATCCCCAAAGGTATCAGTTATTAAAGAGAGAAGGGGAGGGGTGGAGTTTCCTAGCAACCTTTTGAGATGTAACTTGACAGTCATCAAAATGGTGTATATGGCTGATGCTAAGATGAATTTGCTTCCTTCCCTGAGCTCACACCCACACTTGACTGCCTCTTTCCTTCTGAAACTCATCCTTTGAGAAGCCCACTCTCTGCTCTCTATGTATCTTACTATTCTGGGAACTTCTCTTTAGAGAAAGAGAAGTTATTCAGTCCATATTAAAATATTTTAATAAAATCTCCAACTCTGCTTCATAAACTGACTATCCCTGTTGTTATTTCAGTATTACAGCAATGAATCAGGGTGTGGCTGGAGTGGAGGTCCATAAGAGTCTATAGGAACTCCTCAGACTGCTGAAGGCAACAGTGGGGTGCTGTGTCTGTCCCTTAGTGTCCGACAGTTTCCATGCTATGGAGTTCACACCTGTTCCTCCCCAAATGCAACCTAGGTCGAAAGTTAACTCAGAGCAGAAAGGACATTAGAAGTGTCTATCTATCTGTTTATAGTGTGAATGTCCAGATTCCTCCTTACAGTACATAGTACAAAGGCACTTTTATCTCTTGGAATATAAGTGACATTACCTTCCTTCCTGCCGCAGACCAGTCCTTCCTTGTTGCTTGTTGCTGTTGTTGTTGTTTTGTTGTCATTGGTGGTGTTGTTTGAAGTAGGGTCTCATGTAGCCCAGACCCATTAAACCCACTGTGTAACCAAGGGTGACCCTGAACTCCTGATCTTCCTGCCTTCACTGTGTTGGTACTGGGATAACAGGTGCCCCACCGTGCCTGAATTTTGCTTGGTATAAGGAACTAAATTGGACTCTGGCTTCTTACATTTTAACTAAACACTCCACCAACTCCCCTCTTTGCATTTAAAAACAGTGAATCTAACTCCAGACCTCATTTAGCATGCACTCACTTTAATCACTTTTACCTTCTAGAGCAAAAAGCCAAGGAGGCCCACTGTTATTCCAGCCAGTGACTGACGTTTCCATTGCCTTTTTTGGCTTAGAGATACACTTGCCTTGTGTTTGAACTTGTCCTATGTCTAGATTTTTGCCTAGAAAGAAAACGGGTGATCAGAGTGGGAACTCAATAACTCAGCTTTATTAGACTCCCCAGGGCAACCAAGATGTGGATTTAAAAACTTCAGACTTCTAATATTTTATGTGTAGCAATGGCATAGAGCAGGCAGAAGCAGGGAAATCTCAGACCTGCAGCTAGCAGTAGACAATTTTCTACATAGAAAGTGTTCAGGAGTGAAGATCTAAGAACAGAATTTGATTAAAAGCAATAACAAAACCTGTGTAAAAGAAACAGATCCTACTGAGTAACCAGGGGATTGGGGTAAGGGGAAGGAAGGGGGATGAGAATATGGGGTAACGGAATGATTGAGGGGGGAGGGATGCACTGGAAGAGCAATAAAAGAAATATCTTAATAGAGAAAGCCACTATGGGGCTAGGGGGAATCCATAGCGGTGACCCCAGCTAAGACTCCTAGCAATAGTGGAGAGGATGCCCAAACAGGCCTGTCCCTGTAATCAGACTGGTGAATACCCCAACTATCATCATAGAGCCTTCATCCCGTAATTGATGGGACCAGGCGCAAGGATCCACAAACAAGCACCAGGCCGAGCTCCAGGAATCCAGTGGAAGAGAAGGAGAGAATACATGAGCAAGGGAGGTCAAGATGATGATAGAGAAATCTACAGAGACAGCTGAACCAAGCTTGCAGAAACTCATGAACTCTAGACCAACAGCTATGGAGATTCCAGGAACTGAACTAGGCCCTCCATATATGGGAGACAGGTGTAAAGCTTGGACTATTTGAGGGGCCCCTGTCAATAGGATTATGATACAAACCTGGTATGTGAGCTAGCTTGTTAGAGCCCATTTCCCATGGTGGATGCCATGCTCAGCCTTAATGCATGGGAGAGGGGCTTAGCCCTACCCCAACCTATTGCGTCAGACTTTGTAGACCTCCCATGGGAATCCTTACCCATTAGGAGGAGTGGACTGGGGATGGGCTGTGGGGTAGGTGAGGGGGCCGGGAGGAGGGGTGGGAAGGAGAACTGTGGTTGGAATGTAAAATGAAATTTAAAAGAATAACTAAATTATAAAAGAAGAAAGGAAACCAATCAGATATGTTCTCGGCACAATGATGAAGTGACAAGTTAAAACTAAACAGGAGGTGTCAAAAGACAAAGCCCCAACAAATTTGGTGTGAAGTTCTTCATTGGTGATCTGCATTTGTGATGCTAGGCTCATTCTGTAAAATGGAATTAGTGTTCCCACCAGCCACATGAGGAAGGATGACAGCTTTAATATGGGAGGGGGTTGAGGAAAACAAGCCTAAAACAAAGTCATTGGCCCTTTCAACTCCCTTTTCCTGTGAAGGTCAACAGAGGGATCTCCTTAGGGAATAGTACTGCAGTAACTGTAAACATGGCAACCACTTCTCTGTATCCTGACCCCTCCAAAGGTTATAAGAATCACCCAGCTTTAGCATGGTGGTGCTGAGCCTCAGCATGAGTGAACTGAGATCCATATGACCTGTTAGGCCTGATGTCAGAGTGGACAAATGTCAGAGGTCTGTGCCTGGCACAACTAACCTCGGGAGCACTGACAATTTCTCCCAGGAGTACTTCCCACTACCAGGAACAGGAAGCACTGACAAATTCTCCTGGGTACTTCCTGTTGTCACAGATTTAACTGAGACCCTGCTGTGCAGACTTCCTGCAGGGAAATGCTATGGTACAGCAAAGCAAAAGTAACACAAGTGCTATAAATGTCGGTGGTTTGGAGCTCCCTGGGACTTGCCTCTTGTATTCTGGCCTAAATCTGGAGCTACAAACATCCCTTGGAGGTAGGACCCTATTTCTAAGTGTCTTTGTCCTTTCAGTTTCTCTGTTTTCCTTGGTTGGGACCTCATCTACAATTCTGTATCCTTATGAAACAAGAACCTGGGTCTTAGGTCATAAGAGACAGATGTTTTTCCCTCCATAAAACTTTATTTTTATTATATGGATTATATTCTCAATGTGTGATGCAATGATGGCTATTTTCAAAAATTGGAAAATACAGTGACTATACTGAAAATAAACAGCTACTAATGAAATAAAGTCATCCAGTTTAGAGCCACCAGAAACTTCAAAATAACTTTACTGAGCTAATTATAGCTGAATATTTTTTCTGACTGAAGACACTATCTTTAATTCAAATTAATAAAAATACTGTAATCAAGACTGAGAGTGTGAACCAGTGAGATGACTCAGCAAGTAAAGGGACTTGCCCCCCTACACACACTACACATACATGATACACACATAACATACATACACATACCACATGCACAGTCTACACATACATATGCGTCATACATGCACACACCATATCACACACACACATACACATATCACACATACACATACACCACACACACACATACATGCACATACCATACACAGCATTACACATACACACATAAATAATAAATATTTTTAAATTAAGTTAGTGTATAAGGTTTAGAGTATGAGCAAGATATCACTACATTTCCCTATTTTGTCTAAAATTAAAAAAGGTTATAACTAATATAATAAAAACTATATGCAGTAAGTACAATAGCTACATACAATATATACAGGCAATAATATCAATAATGTCTAGTCCACTAACAATTGACAAATTCAGAGAAAATACTCCAGATCTATCCTATCCTGGTAAGTCCAAAAGGTTGTATCTAATTCACTATCTATCATAACTTGTATTACCAAAGCTATCTTTTATGTCTCTCAACCTTATACACTTTACCTTTCTTTAGTGAATTTCTTTTCTGAATCTGGTAACATGAAAACTATAACTATAAAGTCTTCAACTCCATCAGAGACCCAAGATGGAAATAATATTCCCTGAGTAAGCAGTAAGTACAAGCAAGAGAATTCCAAAAAATGTAAGAAATCACAGAAACAGCTGGCTACCTGGCTGTCACCCAAGGTTCCTCCGCAATGTTGGTGCATCCATCTTTGGCCTACAAGCCTATCATATCTGACAGACCTTTCTGTGAAGCAGGGTATTCTGAAGGGCTTGTCCTACCTTGTCTTGGCAAAGTTTGGCAGTCCTTTCTTATGTGTCCTGCTTGTCCAATTTGGATAGCATACTGTGAGCAGTCAAGGCAAGAACACTTTCTTGCCCAGTGGCTAACCTTTGCCACAAAGAAAGTAAACTCCAAGCAGAGGTTCTTCGATGCCCATCATCTTCTCTGAAGTAGATTGGTGCTGCCGGGAACAGACATGTCTCATTGCCATGAAGAAAAGAACCTATGTTATGACTGGCAGTGGTGAAGCATACCTTTAATACCAGCACTTGTGAGGCAGAAGCAGGTGAATCCCTGTGAGTTTGGAGCCAGCCTGGTCTACAAAGCTATTTCCAGGACAGCAAGGGCTGCTAGACAGAGCAAAACAAAACAAAACAAAAAACTTAAATTATTAAAACATATTAAACGCCACATTCTGCAGATCTCTGAAGTGTTTGAAGACAATCTGTCTAAAATATATGTCTGTTTGTCCTTGAAAACATACCTAGTATGACTACAAGTTCAATTGTAGTAAGTGACTAATTGCTAACCTGCATTTCCTTATTATCCTAAATAGCTGGTAAAAATAATTTTCAAGGCATAAAAAGTTGCATGATATTGTTGAATGAGTTGCATAGGTACAATACCTTGAACAAGATTAGAAATGTATGTACAGTAATATTCTAACAAAAATAATCTCAACTTTGTGTCAATAGACACAAAATCCAAGTCAATGAAAAATTATTAAAACTAGTAGTTGCCTTTATGGTTTAGAAATAGATTCAATAATCTACCTTTTTGTCCTATTTCTGTATCCCCCTTTTTTCTTTTCAAAACAAGAACTCAGAGTTCAACTGAAACCCTGAATAGGTATCAATGGTGTGATGCACATATTTTAAATTTCCAAATTCTATAAAATGAAACACATCCATCTGCCAGATTCCATTCCTTGAGTACCCTTTGGGTTACTTACTGCAGGTAGTGTAGTTTGGTTGTATAAGGAATAAGGAGGACATTTATTTATAATTCCCTTGGATTGTTGCCATGTGATGGAAGAATCTTTTTTTCAAACCATTGCTATTGACATGATGTTTTTTATGAAATTCTGAGACCTCCAGTACATTTCTTATCAATAGTTGATTTATTCCATCATTACCTTGTGCTAGAGGGTCTGGCAGGCAGGTATGTATGGGATTTGATGTGTGAGGGGTGTGTATGTATATGTGTGTATGTGTGTGTGTATGTGTGTGTATACATATATATGCATGTATATGATAATTCCTATTCCTGACTGTTTCTTACAACTGAATAGATAATACAGTCAATTCTGAATCATCTGGTACGAATTCAGCCGTTTCAATATGCAAAACAACTCTTTTTGCATATTGTTAATCAGTAACTATGTTGAGAGGTTCCATAAAATCCATTAATACCATGAAAATAGCATATAATTCTGACTTATGGACAGAATCAAAAGGGCTTTGAGCCACTTTACTTACATTTTCTGATTTATAACCTGCCTTTCCTTATTTATTTGCATAAGTATAGAATTAGAAGCTCCAGATATTAGTGTTTGCCATACAATGCAAGGAAGGCTTTAGATAGTTCTTTTTATGAATTGAATTCTCTTGGTTTGGGGATATTTGCTGTTAATCACTCCCAAAAGATTATTGTAACCTCTTTGCCAATGTTTACTTTCTGCCCATAATCTATTTCATCGTTAGTAAAAGGTGCTACAATATTTTCCTGCTAATTGAAAAAGTCTCAATTGTCCTTTTAGAACCAACTCAAAGACTTTTTCCATGTGTTAATTTTTTACTCTGCTTATGTGATAAAAAGATCCATTCTAAGATAATATCTTCCCTATGCATTAATATTCCTGAAGGAGAATGCTTAAAGGGTGAAATAACCAAAATGCAGTCAAGCTTTGGATCCAAACAATACACATATGCATCCTGTAATTTCTTTTCCACCAAAATCAATTCTCTCTTAGCTTCAGCTGATAATTCTTTTGGACTGTTCAAGTCCTTTTCCCTATCTAATGTTTTGAACAAATTACACAGTTCATTTTTTTCTATTCCAATAGTGAGCCTTAGATAGGAAATGCCTGCTAGTAATCTTTGAAAGTCATTAAGAGTCAGCAACCAATCTCTCATAATTTGTACCTTTTGGGGTTTAGTTTTCTGTAGACTTATTTTATATCCTAAATAATTAATAGAATCTTCTCCTTGTATTTTTCAGGATCAATTTGTAAGCTCCACCAAGGCAAAATTTTCTTTACTTCTTCAAACATTCTAAAGTATTTACATTTGAGTCAGTTAGTAAAATAGCATTTATATAATGGTCAACTATAGAGGGAATTGCTTACATATTATTTCCAATGGTTGACTTGCAAAATATTGGCACAGGGTGAGGCTACTCAACATTTCTTGTGATAGAACCTTCCATTGATATATGTTAACAGATTGATAATTATTGTAAGTAGGCACCAAGAAGGCAAATTATTCTGTCTTTTTCTTGTAAAGATATAGTGAAAAAACATTATTTTAAATCAATAACTATGAACTATAACTATTGCCATGCTTTAGGCAATAGAGAAGGCAAAGGAATTCCAGACTGTAGAGAGCCCATTGACTGTATCACCTTATGGACAACTTTTAAATCTGGTTCCATTCTCCATTTTCCAGATTTCTTTTTAACAACAAATACAAGAGAATTCCAAGAGATGGTTGATTCTTCAACATGCTAAGGATTTAACTGCTCCTGTACCAGCTCTTCTAAAGTTTGCAATTTCTCTGTCATTAATGGCCATTGCTCAACCTATACAGGTTTGTCTGCCAACCATTTTAAAGGTAGGGCTGTTGGTGCCTTTGAAAGATCAGCAGCTGTTGTGTCCTGTTCTTGTACAACCTGAATGGCCAGTGACTGTGCTTTATAATACCTTTTAATCTTTTTCCCAGAAACATATGTTAATTTGTGTTTTGCTTCTGTTCTGAGGAATGTTAATTTGAGTATTCCATTACTGTAACAAATTGTATTCATTGCTATGATAGCTGCATACAGCTTTAATTTTCCTCTCTATCCTTCTGGCCCTGTACGTTTGACCCATATCATTCTCTGTTTTACCTGAGATAAAGTTCCAATCCTAAAAGTTGAACATTTACCTCCTTAAGAGGCCAATTTGGTTGCCAAAATTCTGGTGCAATTATTGTGACATCTGAAACTATGTCTTCAGGGCCTTTAATGACAATGTCATTTATTCATGTTTTCAATTTTGGTCTTTGTTCATTTATAGAAGTTTGCCAAAATATTTCCAAACCAGTATGATTTCTTACAGTAGGCATTAGGTTCTTTAATTGCTGCGGGAAGGAGTTTACACTTCGATGACAGCAAACAGCTGAACCGAATTGGGGTCAATGAGAGACCCTTCCAGGCGTTTCTCCACAGCACAGGGTTACTTTAACTGTCCCTTGTTGACCTACATTCATTTGTCCAGTGCCTGCTTTTGCCACACATTTTGCATGATTCAGAAGGCAGGGGCATTCTGTTTGAATTATGCATGGAAGAAAACATTGTTTCAAAGAATGCCCATCTACAGTCACTTTTTAAGTGACCTTGTTTGCCACAATTGAAACACTTGACATTTTGATTTTTCTTCAAACCTCTGGAAATCACCTTTTCCATCCAAGCATCATCATGGTCATGGGATTCAATATTGATTATATCTCAGATCCATTCTTCTTTGGGTGCTTATCTTGCCTTTAACAGCCTAATTATCCTTTACATTTTTCATTAGCATTTTCAAAATTCAGAGAGTCAATTATTATTTGTCTAATAATTCAATTATTATTTTCAGTATTTCTGAATCTGGTATCATTCTCTTCACTCTTGAAGTCAGTTTTTGTAAGAAATCCATAGAAGCTTCATTTGGACCCTATTATAACTTTAATAAATGACTCAGTTTTCTTTCACACTTCTCCAATTCTGTCCCAAGCATTCAAAGCTGCTGTGTGGCATAGTCATCATATAGAGATTGCCTTTGTACATCAGCTAATCTCTCCCTCTCAAAAAAGTTGCTCTTGGGAGATTTCCATACTTCTAGCCCTACTTCGTAGGTCTTAGCCTCATCTTTCCACCAGGTACTCCATTATAATTGTGGACCAGTCTCCAAAACCGCTGTAACCATTTCTCTCCAGTTTTTAGGGATAATTCTATTACAAGTTGACCATGAGTTTGTATCTGCTTCCTTGAATCTCCTTAAATCTAGCATTTCCACAGGAATCCATTTAACTCTTGCACTGTATTGGGAATATCAGTCATTTGGCAGATCCCGTAGGGTGACTGGATGAATTAAAGTTGGTTGTTTGAAAACCTTAGACTGTTCCTCTCTACCATTATAATGCAATGCTAAAATTGATTGTACATTGAATTCCTCTGTCTGGATCTGAATATCTATGATCTAAAACTTGTACCTTAGTTCTCAGGTTAACCAACATTTTGGTGATAAAACAAAAGATAAAACTGATGATGTTTATAACTGACATTACATAAGTACCATATAAATTAGCTATCTTATTTAATTGTTCCATTTTCAAACTGTCCAGTGTATTATTATACAGAGACTTAAGTCCCTCCATTGTAATAGTGTTTCCCATTTTTTTAATGTTGAAAACCTCTCTTTTTGTTTAACTAACTCCCTCTTTAAGAATTCCCAATTGTCTCACCAAATCATCTGAGGAAGATGGTGGAGCTTGAAGCTGTGTAGGACATTTGATCGGAGAACACAGGCAGTGTACAGGCTGGCTGAGGACAGGGGCAGCTGCTAGCATGGAGCTGTGAGATGAGAGTGGCAGCCCAAGGAGAGCAGGTCTAGGGCAAGCCAGCCCATGGTGAGGGGGTGGGAGCCAGATGTCTGAAAAATGCACATGGGATTGTGCAGAAGCGGCACGTTTGGCAGGATCTGCCTAAAGGTGCAGGCGCAGAGGTGTAAATCATGTGACTTTGGGAGCCCAGGTGCTTCTGGAGTTTGGGTGACAGCTGTAGACTGTTTTAAGGAGGTGACGACAAGCTTGCTCAGAGGCTTGGGGAAAAAAGAAAAGAAAACCTGACGGGCGTGGTGGTGACTCCAGTGGGAGCCTCTTATGCAGCTCCAGCCCAGCCACCAGCAAGTGACTTTTTCATGAATTCCTGCCTTTAAGTTGGGTGACAATATGTAACACGAGTTCTAATAAGTCTTAATAATAAAAGCCCATAGTCAGACATAGCAGGAAATGCTGAGAGATCAGAGACCAAGGAGCAAAACCACAGCCACCTTACCTACTCAGCTTCCCAGGCAAAAAGAGACTGAACTCCTGTCTCTTCCTGCCTTATTCACTTCCTCTCTCTGCCTAGCCATATCACTTCCTGTGTGTCTGTACAGACCTCCAGATCTCTATGGTTGACTAGTGGCTAGCTCCACCCCCTGATCTTCAAACAAGCTTTATTAGTGTATAAACAAGATACTACTACAGGTTAATCTTGTAAATTGAAGGATTTATAGATAGGTTGATGTCTACCTTTCTCCTTTGATAGTGTGCAGAGTATATTCCAATACCATGTAGGGGTGAAGGCTTTAGGCAGTTACCAGCTCAACTTCTCTGTGTTCAATGTGTTGTGCAGGTGTTGTCTTCAATAATAGGCCCTTACCATCAGTTTGTGGAAAGCAACCTGTAGCCTGGGTTGTTTGTCCAACAATTCAATTGCATAAAACCCATTCTTAATACTGGTAGCTTTGTTTGGTGACGAGGAATGTCTAGTTGCTGCTCTGTCTCCCCCATTGTTTGGCGATTTCATTTAAGTCAGCTTCACATACGTATATATCATAGGAAGCTTCTATTGTATTAGGATTATCTTTTAAATTATTGTGCAATAATGTAAGGCACATTGTTTTGCCAATTACTACTAGTCATGATGAGTGCCAATGAATTTGAAAACAAGACAAAAATAGTTTCTGAAAAGTAAAAATGCCATACTAATTTAAAAAGTGGAATAAAAAAATGAAAGACTAGATACCAAGGAAGAAATTGTCATCTTGAGAGCTGGATCAGTGGTGAAGAGTACTTGCTAAGTTTCCGTAGGAACTGAGTTCAGTTCCCAGCATCCACCTCAGCAGGCTGGAAACTTTATGTAACTCCATCCACAAGAGATCCACCTCTCACTTCTGAACTCTTGTGATACCTGCACACATGTGACAAACACACATGCACACACCACAAATAAAAAAATAAAAAGTGGAAGAAATTGAATTTAGAATTCCAATAATTTTTACAAACATGTTGTACCAAATCTTCAGAGAATAAATAATTGCCTTATAAGAGATGATAGGTAGGCAGAGAGGTGGGTAGATAGGTGGGTAGGCAGGTGAGTGTTGTGGGGTCCATTCAGTTCAATCCAACTCAGGCACAAAGTTCAAACAAAAGTAAAAAGTGAATTGTGATCAAAACCATGACTGACAGGATCAGGGATTCAGAGCAGACTCAGGAGCTGAACTGTGACTCTGACTCATTTTCCCAGGGTTTTTAATCAAATCAAATCATAGCCAACCTACATTTATGTACACTTATTTACAGAAGCTTTAAATGATTTAAGATGTCAGAATTGCCAAGCCATATGTACAAATTCTGGGAAACCGTACAAGTGCTAATAACACTGAGGGAAAATTAAGTAGGTTACAAAGTTAAATCACAACTCCACAGAAAAAAACAAGACATGAAACACTGAGAAGAAAAAAGTGCAAGGATTTATAAATTAGAAAGCCAGCCTCCTGCAAATGAGTGTAATTACCAGGCAGTATTGAAAAGAAACGACAGCATTCTGTTACCGCTTTATACAGTAAGCCTCCTTGTGTTTCCATTTTATTTACTACCATAAACTCAGCGAGAGCCTCAACATCCTGGTTAATTTGGTCAATGTGATATACAGCTAGACATAGCCAGGAAGAGGGACTCCATAAAATTGACCTGTAGGCAAGTCTGTGGAGATTTTTTTAGATTGATCTCTGATGTGGCAGGGCCCAGCTCACTCTGGGAGATGCCTCCCCTGGACAGGTCATCCTGAGGAGTATAAATAAGCAGGCTGAGCAAGCCTTGGTTGACTCGCCAGTAAGATCTCTTGCCTCCATAGGATTCTCATTATGCTAAGAACTCAATTAAGTATAAAGCAGTCCAGTACTTAAAGCCTCATTTGGTGACAAAAGATGACCAGATGGGACTCGTCCGTCCTCCCCCTCAATATTAGATCTGATTTGAATCACCTTCATATGTTTTAGGGAGTTTCCACTGCACTAGGTTTCCATATGATCCCAATAATGCCCCTCAGTTCCCCCTGTCTTCCTGAATTTCCTCCCTCAATCCTAGCTCCCCTCCTCTCCACCTGATCCTCCCATTCCTGTTCCTGTCCACTCCTAGTCCACTCCTAAAATCTATGTTCCCCTCCCAAAGTGATCCATGTGTTTTGCACCCCCCCATACCTAGCCCTTTCTATGCCTAACCTCTCCAAATCTATTGAATGTAGGTTGGTTACCACCTACTTAAAGGCTAATGTCCACATATGAATGAATACATATCATATTTATCTTTCTGGGTCTGGGTTACCTAACTCAGGCTGATTTTTTTCTAATTTCATTCATTTGTCTGTGAATTTTGTGTTGTCATTTTTTTAACAGCTGAGTACTGTAGCATGAATAATAAAAACCCAGAGGTAGATATTGGGGTTCAAGCTGAAGATCAGAAAAGCAAAGCAACCAATCACTAAAGAGTTCTTACACCTAAAGGGGCAATCTTGTCCTCAATGTAACTGCAGACTGACTGACTCCTGTCTCCTCCTGTCTTATATTCCTCTCTAATGCTGGGATTGAAGGCGTGCACCACCACCACCCAGCCTCTATGGCTAACTAGTGCAGCTGCTGGGATAAAGGTGTGTGCCATCACTGCCTGGCTTGTATGGCTGACTAATGTGGCTAGCTTTGCCGTCTGATCGTCAGGCAAACCTTATTTATTAGGCCATAAACAAAATATCACCATAGAATAGTGTTCCTTTGTGTAAATGTACCTTATTGTCTTTATCTATTCTTCTGATGAGGAACATTTAGGTTGTTTCCAGTTTCTGCCTACCTTAGGATATTTTCTAATGTATGTTCGTGAAGTCAAGACTCTTCCAGGTTTTACCAGAAATTGGTGTGAATAAACAAATAGAATATCATAACTTGTGAGTAGAGGTGTAACTCCTCCATAGAATGCAAGTTTAGTATGTGCAAAGCCCTAACACCACACACAGTAAACATCTGTATGTGCACATGCTAACATGATGGGAACCCAACTTGCTTTCTGCTATGTAAGTAGGAGAAAGTTTGCTTAACTTGCAAATTTATCTTCAAAACCTCCAATAGATTTCAGATATACTGGAAAGCAATCTTGTGTTCTCATTAAAGAAAACCATGAAAAGGACAGAGTTAAGAGCACTTGCTGTTCTTCCAGACGACATAGGTTTGATTCTTAGCACTCATATGATGGCTCACAACTATCTGCAACTCCAGTTCCAGGAAATCCAATGCCTTTTCTGGCCTCCTCTTTCACCAGGTGTACAGGTGATGAACAGACATACATGATGGCAGAGTTCAAGGTCAGCCTGGTCTACATAGTGATTTCTGAGACAGCCAAAGCTACATAGAGAAATCCTGTCTCCTGTCTCAAAAAAACAAAAACAAAAACAAACAAAAAACAATGCCATTTTTGAACATTATGTGTTCTGGAAAGCAATTGAGGCTTTTATTTTTAATGAGACAATATTCTCAAACAGTTGGCTGAAGTCCTTTTGTTTACCTACATACATATCAAGGGAAGTCAGAGACACTGGAAGTACTGGGCTTCGGTAGTCTTTGTATCCTTCCGCGTTTGACAGTGTAGCAGACAGGCAGAAACAGCCATAGGCGGTACCCTCTGTTGTTACAGCATGTATGAAGGACGGGTACCTCAGGGTTCCTCAGCTCATGGCACTATTGGGGTTATAGCAGCTGGGCCTGGGCTTTCAAGCTGCCACAGCCTGTAGTGTTTGTTGTTGTTGTTGTTGTTGTTGTTGTTTTGCGCCTTAGCCTTTTATCCTTTACTCTGCTCTTCTCTCCTCTATCTCCCTCCTCCTCTTCTTCTCACTGTTTACCTATCTGCCGTTGCTATGACTGCTGCCACAGTTGCCACACTTGGCTGCTGCTACTTCAGACTGCAGCTGGTCTTGCAGCAATTTCCATTTTGAGGCTATCTATCACAGCAGCCAGCACTTGAGTGTCCCGCTCACCCTGTGCTTGCTCAGCTTACGTCTGCAGGAACACAGGGTGGTGTTCCTATGTCTCTGCTCTACTGTCTCTGCTGCCCCTGCTGCCTTCTTTGGGTTACCCATTCAGCCACAGTCTCCCAAAATAGGCAAGAAGAGACCAGTACCTTTTGTTGCCACAAGGAGGCAGCACAGGAGGGGTCGCTATGGGCTCACTTGCTGCTCTGTACTGCAGGGTTAGACAGTGGCTCAAGTCACATCAAATCTTGCATGCACACAAAGGTCTGCATTTTCACCAATCATAGTATTGTCCCTTTTGCACCAATCCCAACAGTCCCTTTGCTCACCAGGGAAATGCTCCACTCTGGCCTGAATGGAAATGGTTCCAGATCCTGCCAGAATTTGCTGAGGTATGTGGTTGCAAATAGTCCAGTGCCAACTGTTAGACACAGTTATGGTTAAGCCTGGCCCTTGGAGCAGGAGCAGCAAGTTGCAGTTGTTTACTGAGAGTTTCTTCAAGCAATGTCTTCAGAAGCCCTAGTGCTAGTATAAGGGTGGTTTAGCTGGCTGCTTGATTGACAGCCCTTTGATGAGTCAGCCAGGGCACAGTGGAAAGTCTGACATCTTGTTGGTGACTGATAGGAAAATAAATATGGAAGGAATCTATAATAAGAGCATATCAACATTGGTTTTGATTTAATCAGTTTTTCCCACTGCTTTAGCCAATGCTGAACACTGGCCCTGCATCTCAGAGAAAAAATGGGTCCTCCTCATTGTCTCTGAAAGGGGTATCAAAATCTGGAGATGTTAGGCTCTAAACATCTTTGTGAATTGTGAGGGCTCATCCTTGTGCCCCAGCATCTTGGAGTGGATGGTCTGTGTTTCTGTTGCAATGCACAGATGTGCTGAGAGCCTGACCCCTGGCGTTTCTGCCCCGGGAGACACTTGAGAATCTTTCTGTCTTTACAACATCTCCCAGAGGTACCTACAGAACATGGTAGAGAACTTAGCAAATATCTCTGCCTCCTTCTAACCAAGAAGACTGCACAGGCTTGTAAAAACCTTGGGCCGCTCAGTCCAGGCTAAGGTGCTAGGGAACAGTTATCTGGGTAGTGTGAGCATAGAGGGTCAGGAAGCCATTTGCTAATTCTCTTTTGTTAACCTAAAGCTTACGTGCCTGGATAATTAAAAGAAACCCAGATGCCATGCTGTTCTTCCTAAGTAGGGCTTAGGCAGGAGGAGCATTTGAGAATGAGTTCAGGGCTAGCTGAGCAATGTAACAAGACCTCTTTTCTGAATGAATGAATGAATGAATGAATGAATGAATCCAATTGCACATAGGATTACATCACAATCAACAGAAATAGACAAATCTAGCACTTAATTCTAAAGTCCTATTTAAGGTGTGTGTGTGTGTGTGTGTGTGTGTGTGTGTGTGTTGTTTTAGCTTTCAATTATTCAATTAATTCCATCAAGAATTGAATAATTTTTTCTTTTAAAACAATATTTTCTCATTTTACATACCAATCCCAGTTCCCACTCCCTCCCTCCTCCTGCTTCCTATACCTTCCTTCAACCCTGCCCCTTCCCCCTCCCCCCATCCAGTCCTCAGAGAGGATAAGGCTTCCCATGGAGAGTCAACAAAGTCTGGTACATCACTTTGAGACAGGACCAAGTCCCCCCTTCCCCATATCTAGGCTCAGCAAAGTATCCCTCCAAAGAGAATGGGTTCCAAAAAGCCAATTCAAGCACTAGGAATAAATCCTGGTCCCATTGCTAGTGGCCCCACAGACTATCCTAGTGATATAAGTGTCACCCACACTCAGAAGGCCTAGTATGGTCCTATTCAGGTTCCCCTGTTGTCATTCCAGAGTCAATGAGCTCCCACTAGCTCAGGTCAGCTGTTTCTGTGAGTATCTGCAAAATGGTCTTGACCCTCCTCCCTCTCTTCCACTGGACTTTGGGAGCTCAGCCCAGTGCTTAGCCGTGAATCTCTGCATCTGCTTCCATCAGTTGCTGTATGAACTGTCTATGATGATAATTTTCAAAAGCAAAACTGGATGTAGCAATTTCTCCTTTCTTATGCTGCCTGTATGCCCACATCTGTGATTCAATCTTCTCCTCTTCAACAACAAAAAAAAGCTGGCTGAAGGTCAGATTTGTTAGATGGCTTTGAATCCATGGAGATGAGCAAGAGCACTGTCCGTCAAAGGACTGGGCAGGCCCCTGGCTGACTCCAGGCCTGACTTTCTGGGAAATAGTAAGCAGTTACTATATCATAAGCAGCATTCTTAGTTCTATGTTGCTGGTGGAGAGTTAGGATCTTGGAAAATACCACACAGCTGGTGAAGATGTTAACATTGTGTATGGATCTGGCTTTAGACCCCAGGTGCGCATCACCACCACCTCCTAGTGTTCTTCAGAGGGCCAGGTTAGTGTGGCTGACATTTTCAGCATAGCTTACATCCATCTACCCATTTCTAGGCTCACAATCCTGGGCAAGTGTGATTGTCCCTTTTCACTGCCGAGCTGTGGTTCAGTCCAGAGGGAACCTGAAGCTGAGAAATACTTACCAGTGATCTCTGTATACTCATTTGTCTCCCTTACTGAGCCACCTAAGGTCAAGCCTGTTCTCCATTTTACTCCTGGAACTTACCCATGTTCCGTAACTTTGCTAAATCGGAGTCTAAGAACATTTTACCAGTTTGCAAAAACGGCCTGGGTATTATCATGTGGTGTCTTCTCTATGAGCCAAACAGACAAACATGGGGTTTAAATCGCAACTGTTGTTTTTTTTTTTTTTCTTTTGCAGCCTGTGGGACCCGAAAGGACTGAGATGCGGGTGCAGCAGATGTGCAGCGGAAGTGAGACCCAGGGCTCCACCCCAAGCCAGCAGGACACGGGTAGTCGTGGTTCCAATGCCTGCTGCTTTTGCTGGTGCTGCTGCTGCAGCTGTTCTTGGTAACGCTGGGGGCTTTTTACTAAGGTGCTGATGGGGAGGGGGCCTTTGACCACAGCCTATTTATGACACATCTGGGCAGTGGTAGCCCAGGCTGCCCTCCCAAAGTACTCTAGGTTCAATTCACAGCACCAATCCGGCAATTCACAATTATCTGTTCCAGGGGATCCAACACTCTCACACAGACACACGTGCAGACAAAATGTATATAAAATAAAAATATATAAATTAAAATATACTTTTAAAAAGTTTTTTTTAAAAAAGAAAGATAGAAAAGAAAAAAAAATCCCAAATTAGTAATGGTGGCTGTGAGACAGAGGCAGGTAGATCATTAGGGCTCACTGGCCAATCAGCCTAGCTTCAACCAATGAGAGAGCTTGTCTCAGAAAACCAGAACAAACAAAAACCCAAGGAAGATAGCACCTGAGGAAAGCCATTTGATGCTGTCCTCCGGCCTCCACATGCACACACATGCATAGGCTCCCCACAAACACACAGTCTCACACAACTGAATGAGCAGTAAAATAAAAAAAAAGAAAGAAAAGGTAAAACTTAGTTAGGCAAGACAATTACAATGTCCTTAATAAAGAATTCATATCCATAATATACTGATATGGGGTGTCCTTCTGCATGCTGTGAATATGTGATGTTATTAATTGGTTGACAAATAAAGCTGATTTGGCCAATGACCAGGCAAAAATAGAGCCAGGCCAGAAATCCAAACAGAGTTATGGAAAGAAAGCAGGCAGAGTCAGGGAGACGCCATGTAGCCGCTGGGGAAGCAAGATGTGAGGTAACAAGCCACAAGTCATCGTGGTAAAATACAGAATAATAGAAATGGGTTAATTTATATGTAGAGCTAGCCAGTAAGCATCCTGAATCATCAGCAAAACAATTATAATTAATATTAAGCCTCTAAGTGTTTATTCGGGAACTGGTGGGCAAGACAAGGGAAACCTCCAACAATATTCGAAGAGTTTCAGGACATAAAATGACCAAATGAAAACAAGCAGCACAGAAAACGTAATCTGTATGTGCTCCTGCCAACAAGATTAAGATAAATGCAAGCTGATAGCCTGATGTGCTGGTGCACACCTTTAATCCCAGCACTAGGGAGGCAGAGACAGGCGGACCTCTATGCATTCAAGGCTAAGTTGATATGTGTTTCAGAACAGCCATGGTGACAGAGAGACTCTGCCTCAAAAAAAAAAAAAAGGCAAGTTGCACGACACCCATTGAAATGTGTACCTAAAAGCCCCCCTAGGAAACAGTGACGTGAATGCAGAAAGCGTATCAATGAGAAAATGGAACCGGGTTCCATAGCTTACAAACTTACCTCAGGGTATCTTCATGCCCTTGTCACTGAAACTCATGTGCTACAGGGGGAAGAAATTACAAAGCAATGGGTATTGTAAAATAATGCTTATAGAACATCTGAAATGCATATGTGTGCATAGTAGCATAACTATGGATAAGAGTGATGAACAAATTAAGCTTGATGGTTAGCTCTCAGGTGGAGAATAGGGAGACCACACAACAAAGGTTATGTGGTTTGAGAAGAATTTTTCCCCCAAAGTTAACGGATTCATAATTATCCTGAAACAAATGTGTTGTTTTCACATCAATGGAAAACAATTCAATTTCCTTGATTTTTCCCCCTCAGCATTCTTTTAAGATGTTGATATACACTGTAGAGTAAATTTTCTAGAAAGATAGCTGGCAATATTTTCCTAAGCCCTTCACAATCCCAGCCCATGGCCTTCTAATATCAAGGGAAGCACTCAGGTTACTTATTCCCTACAATATAAACATTTAAACCACTGTGGGTTGTTCCTGCTCCTGTAAATAGCACTTCACCCACTCCCGTGTAAGCAACACTAACTGGGCAGGGACAAGAAAGGAAAGGAAGCATAAAAGTAGAAGGACGGGCTGGAAAGAAACGGGTTAGTGGGAACACGCAGAGGACAAAGGAGGGTAATGCAATAAATATGATCAAAACGCATCATATTCCTGTGTTGTGGTGATATTTTGTTTATGATCTAATAAAACTTGCCTGAAGATCAGAGGGCAAAGCTAGCCATAGCCATAGAGTCAGGCAATGGTGGTGTATAACTTTAATCCTAGCACTCAGGAGATGGAGGCAGATGGATCTCTGTGAGTTCAAGGCCACTCTGGGCTACATGAGAGTGAATAAGCCTAAAAGAGAAACAGACCTCACACCTCTAATCCCAGCACTAGGAAGGTGGAGAGAGGAGTGATGTGGCTGGGTGGAGAGAGGAAGATAAAGTGGGAGGAGACAGGAACTCATTGCAGTCTCAGTGTGCTAGAATTCAGGCATTTGTACTGGTCTGTCCTGATAGGATACACCCACAGCTGCAGGCACTAAGAGTACCACCTGTGCTTATTCACTATGTTCCTTTTAAAAGGGTCCTGCCCACCTCCTATCCTTCTCTTTCTTTCTCTCCCTTTTTCTGCCTGTGCTCCTGCGGCTACTGTCTCCAGAGGCCTGTCTCCACCCTTCTCTTGCCCTTCTTATGATCCCTTCCCCTAATTAAAAAATCTGCTTGAACCCTGTTGCATGGCGTCATTCTCCCGTGCACTGCTTAACATGCTGAGTCTGAGCAGCAGTGCAGCATGAGCAGGCTGAAGTTCAGCGGATCAACTCTTCAGTCTGAGCACTGAAAGAGGCTGACTGCTTCGCTCATCTCATTTTCAGGTTGAACCCAAATATCTGTTCCTGGGCTTTTATTATTGTGCTATAGTGTGTGAAAATGTCACTAACTATTACAATCAACATATCCTAATAAAATACACTTTAACTTTTTTCTGTCATGCTGGAGGGTATGCCCTTCCTTTCTCTCTGGAAAGGGAAGCCCCTGAGTCTTACAGAGCACTGATGAAGTGTGGTGAACAGAGCCTTAGCTTGTGTTCATCATCCTCTACTGGGATAACAGCCACAGAAGACCCTGTAAACATGGTGAACCAAGAGTAGCCTGCGATATCTCTCTAAAGGACACTGTCCCCTTTAAACCATTTCTGCTTTAGCAAAATAAGGTGGAAACTTGTCAAAGTTCACAATAGATCATCCAATTCTCTTTGCAGCCTTGTCTCAAACTCATAGTTCCTTTTTCTCTTTGCTTTTGTATACCCACTGTGCAGTCTATGTGTTCTGCCTACAAAGAAGCCAGGAAGTCAGGCAGGATGAATGCTCCTACAGATAGGATGGCACCCCAGTGCCTCTCAAATGTTTTTGTCTTGTTTTATTTTTTTTAAAACCCATTATTTATTGAAAAGTTTTACCCTTAGCTTCATAAAAGAAGTAAATCAAAAGGATTCCTGCATTTTTAATGATCTTGCCTTTATGTCAAAATAGATCTCTCCCTCCCTCTCTCTTCCTCCCTCTCCCTCTCTCTCTGTCTCTTTCTCTGTCTCCTCTCTGTCTCTCTCTGTCTCTGTCTCTCTCTGTCTCTGTCTCTCTCTCTCTCTCACACACACACACACACACACACACACACACACACAAACTTACCAAGCTGATTGCTAAAAGCAGACTAAAATACTTTCCTACGATAAAATGTTAAGACAAAGCATAGGGAATGAACCAAAGCACTAATAATACACAATAGCAAAACAAAAAGCCTCAATCATCAATGATACAAATTCATTTTTAGGGGTTGAGGGGGGTTGCTCAGCATTCACGAAACACTAGATTTAGTCTTCATCCTCAAAACAAAACATTAAGTTGTTGGGATTCTGAAACTTTCCTGCTAAAATCAAGAATAAGAGAAAGACATGACAGTTTCTCCCACTGTTTACCATCGTGTGGTAGGCATCAGACAAGAGGAAGCATGTAGATAGAGTCTAGGACTTGGAATAGAACAGAAAACTCTCCCATTTTTAGATGATGCAAAACACCCTGAAAGTCCAAAAGAAACTTTATTAGAACTGATGAATCAAGAAGAAGAATATAAAATCCATAAAAATAACTATCATTAGAGCTTGTGTCTAAACTACATAAAGCTACTACAGGTAAGAGCACTGGCTGTTCTTGCAGAGGACATGGGTTCAGTTCCCAGCATCCACATAGTGGTTCACAAACACTTGTAACACCAGTTCGAAGGGATCCGTCCAATGCCCTCTTCTGACCTCTGTAGACATGAAGCATGTATGTGGTACCCAGACATACATGCAGGCAAAACAACTGTGGAAGCAAAAATATAAATCTTTAAAATATATAAAGCCATACCTCTCAAAAGTAAATAATAACTGATATTTAAATATCAAGGAATAGAAAAAGACATGTCTTCAGAGAAAATATGTGAGACTTGACATCAGTCATTAGTAAAATACAAGTCAAAATCACAGTGACAGTTCATATCCACTAAGCAGATGTCCAAGGAGTGCGCCCAGGAAAGGACTCAGTTCCTCAAATGGTAGCAATGGCTCATGATTTATGTCTGTGGGTATAGAGCATTTTAGCAGTGGGACCTTTTACTCTCTGAGAGATCTCACCAGCCTCACCAAAACAAAAAGAAAAACTCATTTTCTTCTGTTTGTTTGGATTTTTGAGACAGGGTCTCACTCTGTACCCTTGGCTGGCCTAGAACTCATAGAAATAGACAGATCTGTCTCTCTCTGCCTTCTGAGTGCTTGGAGTAAAGGCATGTATCATCACCTCTGGCTTGTTTCCTACTTAAAAGATTTGCTTACTTTTATTTTTTATTTTGTGTGTTCATCCTACACATGTTAGTATTACATGTGAGACTGGTACCCACAAAAGTCAGAAGAAGATGTCCAATCCCTGGAACACGAGCCTCCACATGGGTGCTGGGAACTGAACCCTAGTTCTCTGCAGAAAGTGCTTTTTAATCCCTCAGCCATCTCTCCAACCCACTTTGGGTCTTCTTAAAAATAACAATCAGGGTCACATCTTAAAAAAAAAGAATAATTCTTTGAGTATCTAAAATTATCTTTAAAAATATTCATTTAGGAAATATATTCCTTCGGTCAACATTCCACCTCAGTCAACACGTAACTGTCTTGTTTCTTACAGTCTCACGGTCAGAAACCAGGAAGACCAGAGACCCAGGAAAGCCTCCCATGAGCTCAGAACAGACATCCCAGCGTGTGAAGAAAGGTGAACTCTTGATTTTATTAGCTCACAGAACTGACTGAGGCGCAACATCTCCCTTTTGCTTTTTGCATTGCAAGTTTCAGCAGAGCACATACATTTTCATTTAACTATCATGTAGTAACATCAGATCTCAACGTGGCTTTCCATTTTCCCTGCAGAATTCCTTCTAATTCATTTCACAACAGGGGACAAGTCAGCCCATGCTTTGGTTCCAATGCTGAATCACAAATAGAAGTTTATCCCTCTTGACAGCCCATAACAATGTAATTTTATTTTTAACATAATATATCTTTAAGAGTAAAAACCATACTGATACATCATATTTAGTCTTCAGGAAAATTAAAGAACTCCATTTTTCAGTTACAAATTAATTCTAAATGGCTGAAGTATTGTCGTATGACTTTTCCTGGAAGACATGAACTAGCCTCTACTTACCCTAGACAGGGCACTGACAGCAGATTAAAGACTTAATGGGCCAATGAGTGTGCTGGAGTTACTCACATGAACATAGCAAGGGGTTACCTGCAGAAACGTGGGTGACTCAAAGGCAGATTCATCATCAAAGCCCACTCAGCACAGGCGATGACTCACAAACGCTGCATCCCTGAATGTTCACAGGTACTGGGGGGGCTAAGGGTCCCCTGCCTGGCAACCATGACTGCTTGTAAATCTCAAGGAAGTGACTTGTGAATATCCCACACTTCTGCTTGCTGGATGCCTGGGTCTGTAAGCCTCCCTCCTCCTAATGCTTTTACCTTTAATTTTATGTTTCAGTATTTCATGTTTAACTTTGGGGTATTTGATACAGGAATGAGTCTGGAGCCCCAGGTCTGGTTATCTTCCAGTCCTCCTCCTGCCTCTTTTGATGCTGGGTCTTGGTGTGTAGCCTCCACACCCAGCTTTGTATTGCTTTTCTGTTTATATTTCTTTGTTGGCAAAAGCTCCTGTCCCTCCTGGTCCCGCAGCCACTTAGACCCAAATAAACACACAGAGGCTATATTATTTATAATGTGTTTGACTTATGGCTCAGACTTCTTATTATCTAGCTCTCTCTTAATTATTAACCCATTTCAATTAGTTTATGTATCTCCACATGGTCTTGGGCTTACCAGAGAATACCCAGCATCCTATATCCTATTTTCTCAGTAGCTACATGGCATCTCTCTCTCTCTCTCTCTCTCTCTCTCTCTCTCTCTCTCTCTCTCTCTCTCTCTCTCTCTCTCTCTGTCTCAACTCACTTTCTGTGTTCTTCTTCCCAGAACTTTCCTAGTCTGGTAGCCCCTCCTATACTGCTTGGCTACATCCTGCCTGTCCATCATCAACCAATAAGAGAAACATATATTCACAGCATACAGGACATCCCCATCATTTCTTCCCTTGAACCTTCTTTCTTTTATCAAATTTCCTATAGATTTATTTGCCTTCCTTTAACTATTCTTATACCTGTTCTTTATCCTATTCTTTCTTGAATATTTACTTCATGTGTATGAGTAATTTGCTTGCATATATATATGTGCATCAGGTGCATGCCTGGTGCCTATGAATCAGAAAGGGCTCTTGGGTCCCATGGGACTGGATTTGTAGAAGCCTGTGAGCCACCACATGGGTGCTGGGAATGAATTTCTAGTCCTCTACAAGAGCAGCAAGTGCTACTAACTGCCGAGTCATCTCTCCAGCCCCTTTATACCTATTCTTAATATTACACCTTTATAACTGCAGACATTAGACAAATATCCTAATAGCATTGCTCAAATAGTTTTCCATTCACTTGTTTATCTTTGCAGATAGAATAGCAGCCCATCCCAGTTATGTAAACTTCTTTTTATTTTTACCTTATGTGTATTTGCCCAGGTTTTTAAAGTCTGGGAGATACAGCAACAGCCCTGCCATACTTCCCACAGTACACAAATTTGTTGGAAACAGCAGGTAACTCAGAGACCCCAGGGTGCTGTATTTTGTGCCACAGCTCCCAAGCACCAGGGCAGGGTACAGAAAGCTGGTTGTCCTGCTGTGTGACCTTCAGCCTTGGCTTAATAATAGACACATTCTGCCTTCATTTGTGTGTGTGTGTGTGTGTGTGTGTGTGTGTGTGTGTGTGTGTGTGTGTAAAGCAAGGATGATGATAGTTTGCTGTAGCTAAGCCAGTCAAAGGTGGTTGTGAATACTGAGTAGGGGAGTGAGCCCAGCTAAAGGCAAGTGTCCAGTGTAGTTTGGCCTGACTTTGCTCTGAGTCACATCCAATTAGCAAAACACCATGGTGGTAAATGCCTGCCTTTTGGTGCTCACAGTGCTAAGTGGGTGCTTCACCATGGAGTCACAGCCCCAGGCCTAGAACATGGTCTGTCTGTGACCGAAGATCTGCATGGGTGCTAGGTACTCATATACGAGGCCACATTTGCTGTCATCTGCTGGGGACTCATGCAGTTGGCTGCACTTGCTGTCATCTGCTCAAGTACTAGTTACACATAATTAGCTGCATTTGCCTTGGGTGACTCTAAGTGTTGTAACTTTTTTGGTAAACATTACATGGCCTTTTGAGTCTGTCTTTAAGTGAGCACTTGAATTTAATTATATTGGCAGTCACCTTGATCATTATTATGTATTTAATCTAACAGTCAGTTTTGTGCCTGACGTCTGATGGGAAGAAAGGAATCATTTGGCTTATGCTTCCTAGCCATGGTTTATCACTAAGGAAAATCAGGATAGGAACTGCAGCAGCAACTTGAAAGAAGGCCCATGCACTATTTCATGCAGCATCACCTCTGAGCAGGGAGCCTACAGTCCAGGACGTACCACAGAAACTGTGGAGGACACTGCTAAATGTCTCACTCAGGCTCAGACAGCTCCTTACACAGTCTAGGACTGTCTGCCCAGGGACCTGTGCAGACCGTGGTGGACTGCACCCTCCCGTTTCAGTTAACAATCAGTCAGTCCCCCACCCATATACCCACAAGACAATCTGATGCAGCTAGTTCCTCCGTGGGGCTTTGCTCTTATTAGATGACTCTAGGCTGGATCAAGCTGACAATTAAGGCTGACTAGGACATCTGTGCATCACATTCCTGGTATACAGCCTTCACCCTTAATAAGCCTGCGCAAGGCCCTGTGTTCAGTTGTCAGCACCAGGGTGAAATAAAACAAACAATACTGAGATTCATCTTGCAGATCACAGAGTTTCCCATGGCAAAACCTTAATTTTGATGCATTTAAAATGTTGTGCAAAAACTAAGAAAATACGTGAAAAAAACAGCTCAATAAGTGAAAAAGTTGAGCACTGAGTTGTGACTGCTAAGCTCAGGAAGGCAAGGCGGCATCTTTCTCTAAGAAAGTATAGATTGCTCCCAGCTTACAATGGGACTTTATGATGGTGTGAAAATAATACATGGTGAGCAGAAATCACATTTCACATTCTGCCTGTGGACCTTTCCCAGGCTGGCAGTATGTTGTAGGGTCCTCTCAGGATTCTGGGAAGCACCCTTCAGCTGTCGCCCACATCAGCTACATGATAACTTTGCTAAGCGGTGATGCTCAGAGGGTAGAGGGGGCAGTGCCTTCCCACCTGCGGTATTGCCATCGGTGGTGGCTTTATCTAGGTGAGCTGACAGCATCCGTTCCTGGAGCCATGAGGGCAGACAGTGAAACTAAAATTCCCAGATCCCTGAAAAGCATTTAAGAGTCCTGGGCCAGCAACTCTTCTGAGAGCCCCAAAGAAGTCACTGCCTGAATGACAGACATCCTCAGTTTTTAGCCCAGACTTCCCATAGATTAGGCCAAACAAAAATGGGTTTTTGATGCAAGATTACAAAATGGGAAGACAGTAGCCCACCACAAGAGTCAATAAAACAACCTTCAACTGAAAGCTGAAAGGATTTCAGATGTCAAAGGCATCCATAATAAAACGTGGGGGAATGAGCTCTCACTTGGTTGAGGAAATGAAAGATAGAAAGCGAGGAGGAAGTGAGGTGACAGGGTGAGCCTTCGATTGGAAGACTGACACCGGAGGTCAAGGACTGTGGTCCTGCACTGTCCTCTCCCAGGATGTCCCCAGTGGGGAAACCGAGGACTGTGGTCCTGCACTGTCCTCTCCCAGGATGTCCCCAGTGGGGAAACCGAGGACTGTGGTCCTGCACTGTCCTCTACCACGATGTCCCCAGTGGGGAAACCGAGGACTGTGGTCCTGCACTGTCCTCTACCACGATGTCCCCAGTGGGGAAACCGAGGACTGTGGTCCTGCACTGTCCTCTACCACGATGTCCCCACTGTCGAAGCTGGCTAATCACCATGTGTAAGAGCTTCTGCATTATTTTTCCTCTTAGTAATACTTGTCTTTTATTCACAGTATTGTAAAACCTCTAATTTCAGTATGTATCCATTACTATACATCACATCTCTGTTATCAGTTGTTATGTTATCTTACAAACACATGGGCAAACTCATCATTATTCCAACATTTTTAAAAAATGTTGGCTTTAAAAAAAGGTACAAATTCTTGTCAAAATTTAAGCACTACAGGGCCAGGGATATGGCTTAGCTCTTCAATATGCTTGCTGCCAAGGGTGATGGCCTGAGTCCCATCCCTGAATATATACAAAGAAGTTCTAAGGAAGGCTTTCCAGGAAGCAAGAATAAGATCGCAAATCAAAATTCTTACTTACACGAAATGTGAGCACAGGGTTAATAGAGATGCAGATATTTAATATTTTATAAATACACATACACTGTGTAATAATCATAGATTTAGTTGATACATTTGAGACAGGTTCTCATGTAGCTCAGACTAGCCTCAAACTCACTGTTTTTGAACTCTGGATCCTCCTGCCCAGTCTATGTAGTGCTGCTGATGGAACTCAGGACCTCCAACATACCAGGTATGTTCTCACCTACTCACATATGTCCTCAGTCCAGATGATACTTGTCTTCAGGCCACAGAGCCAAACAATCAAGTGTAACTAGACAAAAAGATGGCAGAAATAAATCCAAACAATGTCAAAAAATAAATAAAAGAGATAAAAATAAGAGCAACTCTTTCCCAGATATTTAATGAAGTGACTAAAATAATTACAATTAATATGGATATTTACCATGTGCCAACAGCTGTCTGCACACTTATGCTGTCATTCTGGTTGTTAGTATTTGAGAGTGATTAAGTAACTGGACCACAGCCTTCGCGTTTATGCTGTCTTCTGCTGACCATCCTCTCCCTAAGAACAGTTGGCAAGGGGGAATCATGAGCTCAACTGTATACTACATTCTCCATGGCAAAGCTGTGTCCGTCTGGAAGAGTCCCCTTTCTTGATTAGCATAGATTGTGAGTAGTGCTTTATCAGGGCTAGTGTGGCCTTGGAAAAATAGTGTTGCTTCCTTTTAAACTCAGACTGTCTGACCAGCGTCTGCCCCTACCCTCTGTTCTATACCACATTCTGACACTCACACCAAATAAAATGGACTCAGTAGAGCAGCAGAGAGAAGGTCACTAACTACTTAAATGCTAAAGGGTGAGAGGACTTACATGTAACTAATATATAAGAGTAAGAAAAAGTTTCTAAGTAGATTTACATACCTGTTATCACATGGGTGTCCCAAAAGGGTAAAGAACTAGACAAGCTAGATATAGTTTATGCTAAAACAAGTTGCACAGCTTCTGTAAAAGCGACATTTGTCCATCTGAAAAAAATTCTGAAGCATACAGAAACATTTATAACAGTCGGCCAAGATTGTTCTCAGAGTTTGGTTTTGCTCTGTGTGTGTGTGTGTTTGTGTTGTTTGATTGATTTTTGCTTCTATTGTTTGGGTTTGGGACAGTACCAGGGATTGAATCCAGGGTTTTGCACATGCTAAGCAGTGTTCTACCACGGGGCTACCATGTGACGTAGAGCAGGCTGGCCTTAGATTTACAATCTTCCTTCCATAGCCTCCAGGGTACTGGAGTTGGCGGCTGGCACCACCACACAGGTCTGGCTTTTGTAAACTGTCTGAATATATGACTAGGATCACTATTGAGCAGACTATACTTTTAGCCCCAAAACAATTAAAACAAAAGTCAGGAGTTTTAAAAACATACACAGCAAAATCCTGTTCTGTTTGGCATTTCTAAGATCCCTTTCAATTCAGTACCTCCTCAATGAATAAAAAAGTAATCATATGAAAATGTAACTATATCAAAATGTGGAATGCTGAGAATACAATAAATAGAGAAAACATAAATCATAATACTTAGTTTTTATTTATTTACGCTCTATATTTTTATTTTTTGAGACAGGTTCTCTTTATGTAGCCCTAGCTGTCTAGCTGTCTTGGAACTCACTATGTAGAGAAAGCCAGTCTCGAACTCACAGAGATCTACCTGCCTCTGTCTCCTTCTACACCTGGCAAAAACCTTAATATTTATAAGAAAAGAAACTAATCATTAGTGAGTCAAGTCCAACTTCCACACAAGAGGGAGATACTAACATACAGCATAGAAACTTAAAGGGTCCAAATAGTTCCAAACTGTTAAACTGTATGAACAATTGATAACTCTCTAAATTTATTTGTCATTAAAAAGTATTTAAGCCCTGGTAGCTTAAAAGATATCACAGCTCCAAGGCCAGAAATCCAAGATCTAGAGCGTCAGCATGGCCAGGGTTTCTCTGTACCAAGTCCCTGGAGCAGACTCCTTCCCCTTTGTCCACTGACTTGTACACACCTTGCTCCAGTCATATGGCCACCTTCTCCATGTGTCTCCAGAGAATCTCTCTGCTTGCATCTATACCAAACTTCCTCTGCTAATAAGAGTTTCAGTTTTATTTCAGATTAAGCCCTGACTAGTGACCTCATCCTAACATGGTTATGTTGGCAAGGACCCATTTCTTTTCTTTTTAATAATTTCTGGCAATTGAACTGCCTTTGGGTGACAAAATCCAACCAGTAACTCTGAAGCCAGAGTCAACATTGCAGCCAGACCATTTTATAGACCACTTTCACAACACAGTCCAGAAGATCATTACTCTTCTATATGGTGTCTGAGAGACAGCTATTACCAGTGATGCCAAAATCTGTATAAAAACAGAAAGTGAGATGCGAATCCTACCCTCAAGGCAGAGACTTAGTGTGATGGGAAAAGCAAGTCACAGAAGACAATGTATTGGCCATCTTATAAATTTTGTTTAAAACTATGGAATACATCCTTCAGGGAAATATAGAGATATGGAACTGTGAAAAACCATAAGAAAGGAAATATCAAGGGTCACTGTTAACAAGGCTTTTTCTGACTGAGTACAGTTAAAATAAATTCAAAGGCTGGCCTGGCAGTGGTGGGTCACACCTTTAATCCAAGTGCTGGGGAAGCAGAGGGAGGCAGATCTCGGTGAGTTTGAGGCCCACCTGGCCTACAAAGCAAGTTCCAGGACAGCTAGGGCTACACAGAGAAACCCTGTCTCAAAAAACCAAAATCAAACAACAACAAACAAAAAAGAAGAAAAAAAAAGAAAAACCAAAGATGGTAAGATGAGGTGGAGCCCAGCATGCCTCCCAGGAGGAGTGGCTTCCCATACCACATAGATTTGGCTCTTCAGGTCAAGGATGCATTCCTAGCTGATCACTGCCACCATCTTGCCTATCTTTAGTGGTACTTGTCAGCTTCTGATGAACCGGCTGTCTCATGGCTTTGCAAAGGCTCTTTATTGTTACACGAAAGTCACCTTTAGCAGGTCAATTTCCGAATGCCAAAACCTCTTATCTGATCTGGCAGCTGTGAGAAGGAAGCATCACCTGAGCAGTTCTCCTCCCATTCCAGACGTCCTGGTTTGCCAGGTTTGTCTGGAGACAAAGTTGTGCAAAGGCTGTGAATCCTTCAGGAAGAGCAACTCAGGTAATAGTCCCTGACTGTTTACAAAAGTCACTGCAGAGCCCAGGTACCAACACTCGGGAACTTACAGCAGGTACAACGGATCTGGTAAACCCCTCACTACACCACCCTCATAATTTGGGATTATGTGTATGTTCTTTTCTCTTTCCCCAAATATTACATGAATCATAAAGTGTATTCAATTGGGCATTGCCCATTGATGCTCTGTTGGGCCAGGGTTAAGTGTGCCTTAGCTCTGTCTGAGATCATTGAGAAGTTTGGGGTCAGATGGCTGCAGGGTCCCTTCTTCACTTCTGTGGTTTAAACGTATTGCCAGATGTACCCAGATGTGAACAAAGTATGGCTGTAAGGTTAGTCAATGTGCTGGGCATGGTGGCACACGCTTTTGATCCCAGCGGGGGCAGGTAGATCTCTGTGAGTTTGAGGCCAGCCTGCTCTACAAAGCTAGTTCCTGGATAGTCAGGGTTGTTACACAGAGAAACCCAGTCCTGAAAAACCAAAAAAAGAAAAAAAGAAAAGAAAAGAAAAATGAAGAAGTTACAACATACTCCAACAGAGTCACTAGCTAAAGCTTGTAAGTATTTTGCCAAAGGCTTATGGAGACAGGAATGGTGCTCTCTCTTCCTAAAAGAGGCAACCATTTGTGTATTTTACAGCAGAGACAAAAGGCTTTGTGACAAACCTGGATGCACCAGCAGTAACATCTCCCTTTTATTTCTTTTGACCACTGCTCAGCCCCACCCCCACTCTGGAAGAAGTCTGCGCGTGGGCCCAGTCATTTGACAACCTAATGGTCACTCCAGCTGGAAGAAATGCATTCCGGGAATTCCTTCGGACAGAGTTCAGTGAAGAAAACATGCTTTTCTGGCTGGCCTGTGAAGAACTGAAAAGGGAAGCTAATAAAAACACTATTGAGGAGAAAGCCAAGATAATATACGAAGACTACATTTCTATTCTCTCTCCTAAAGAGGTGTGTGTGTCTGCAAAACTGTCTCCTTAGAGCCGGGGCTGACTCACCTGCTTCTATGTTTGGTCATGTGCTGCTTGCACAAGTAGGGATATTCCAGGCCACAGCCATGGGTTCCTCCCAGTCATAACATTTGGATTCAGGGGACCCTGAAGAAAGTGTGAAGCATTTTTCAGGGGTTTTTTTTTCTTGGAAAAAAACCACCCATGATTCACAGCAGCTTTGTCACAGAGAGTGCAGGCCCTCACACTGACACTGCCTTTCCTTTCCTTTCCTTTGCTTTGCTTTCTATTGTGTGGTCCTCAGGCTAAGTCCATGGCTGCCGTATGCTGGGTAAAAACTCTACAGCCTCCCTGTTGTTTAAAAACACAGTGCTCTATAAACACTCGTTTAAACAGAATTGTTCCACTATTTTGAGTGAAGTTTTTTTCTGGGGTGTCTTTCTAGTTGCAGTATTGCCAACAGCGCTGGAACTGTGAAGGTTTGCCCCTTGGCATCTTCTTAGTATCACAGAAAATGCCATGGGAGTGAAATCAAGCAGGTTCCCGTCTCTTAGCATTTGTTTCTTCAAATCTGCAGTCCTGAAAGCTAGGTTGATTTTGAGTGCAGGTGCCTGGTATCACCAATTTCACAATCAATGTTATCTCCTGCTGTGTTCTGCTAAGACGGCGGTTCTTAATAAGGCAGAAGCTCTGCTCTTCTATGGTCAGGAACCTCACAGAGGCAGGAAGAGCCATGAACATCCATGTGTGATGATGGCCCAGCATCCTCAGGGTGGGACAGTACAGCAGTCACAGAAAAAGAGGATGAAGATGGGCAAATATAGAGAAAAGGAAATTGCCAGAAGCACAGGGAATGAGGGCATCCTGGACCTAGGACCAGTTAAGCCAAGGTGGGAGTATTGCGGTTTAGGAGCAGAGAACATGGCAGCGGCAGGTGGCCCTACAATGCCGGGTACCAGCAAATTATCAGAGCTGTGGTAGACAAAGGCAGACCTAGAAAAGGGAGATGCTTCATGGCAGAGCTATACAAAATGAGGTTCGGTTTGGGCCTTGTTTTAGAACTAAAAATTTTTTAGTTTTCTGCAGTAAAAACTTCCAGCTTGGTCTTATGCTGACTCCCCTCTAGACACATGTCTGGTTACTATAAGGATCTTCTAGGGGACTTTATCAGTCAGGGCAGAGGGAAAAGCTGTCCCAGGCAGAAGAAGCAAAGCAAGACCATTCTAGCTTCTTCCTTCCTTCCTTCCTCCCTTCCTTTCTTCCTTCCTTTAATCCCAGGGAGTTCAGACACATTTTGAACTGAATAATAAGATGGAGCTGGAAATGAGAGGAAGCAAATGACCAAATACACTTTGAAGTTCATTCAGCAAACCAGGGCAAGGCAGAGATGAGTATCAGGATGGAGTTTGCACTTTAGGAAGAGCCCCTTGGCCAAATCATGGATGTGTTGGGAGGCCAATTGGAAAGCTGAGACACAAATCCAGCAACACAGGGTGTGGCAGAGGGGAAGGAGATAGACAGGTGTGTTAAAGAAGTAGGATTGTGGTGCACACCTGTAACCTGAACACCTTGGACACCAAGTTCAAGGTTATATGGTGAAACTGTCCAGAAAGGAAGGGGCGGGGAGGAAAGGAGAAATAGAGGGAGAGGAAATGGGAGGAGAAAGAAAAAGAATATAAGAGATACACAAGACACCAAATTGTGGGAATGGATGGTTCCATTGAAAGAGCTTGCTGGTTTTCATGCACTTTATTTCTAACAAAAATTCTTATAAACAGCTAGACAGTGGTGGCACACACCTTTAATCCCAGCACTTAGGATGCAGAGGCAGGAAGAACTCTGAGTTCTAGGACAGCCTGGTCTACAGAGTGAGTTCCAGGACAGCCAGGGCTACACAAAGAAACCCTGTCTCAAAAAAATCAAACAAACAAAAAAATTGTAAGCAAACAAACCTAGAAACAACCATCATTTCACTTTCCTTAATGAGTTCATTTATAGGAATTCACATTTAGCTTACATAGATCCAGCAGTGACAGCTGGGATAGTGGAAGACAAGGTATCAGCTCAGGACCTCCAAGGCCACGTTCTCAGCACAAAGGAGATTTATTTGCCCCCAGAGGGACAGAGTTCAGGAATAAGGGACAAAGACAGAAGATAGAGGAGAAGGTGAAAGGGGAAGGAACATTTGTCCCCTGCCTCGATAGAGGAAACAGATGGGGCTCATAGCAAATGATGGTTTATAAAGGTGAAAGGAGAAACCCTGGGTTAGAATTGGGTTAATTATAATTAGGGATGGAAAACAGATGAGCCAAAGAGGGTGCTTGATTGCTGGGTCTCAATACTTTGATAGGTGGACCTTGGTAGTCAGCCTCAAAAGGAGGGTGGGCAGTCCCTTCAAGATAGTGTCACTTTCAGGCCCTGTCATCTGAGTCCTTCACATTATAGACACCTTCCTGTTGGCCTGGCCTGGCACCAGATGCCTACACCCAGTTTCTAGCTGGGCAGGAGCCTGCGGCTCCCAGGTCTTCCCTTCATTAGCAGGGATAAGTCTGTGCATGCTACTTTCTATCTTGAAAAGCCATCTTACACTGGTTTAAAAGAAGCAAAGCAGTGTTTACTCTTCTAAAGCAGTCAGAGTTCCTTACGACTTGTGAGAAATATGAAGCCTGACCCCTCAGTATGACCTACTTGGTCCTCTGGCATTGGGCCAGCAATCTGCTCCACAGGCCTTCTCAGAGCCACTGGGGCCACTGAATTCCTAGAGTTCCCTTCCTCCACCTTTAGTTTCTCTTAGCAGTTCACACTTTTGGAAGATCTTGTTTGGTTTGGTGTCTTTTGTGAGATAAAACAATTATGGGCATTTGGATAGATTTACAAGAGAAGTAATGAATACAACTGCCTCTCTGTCCACAGGTCAGCTTGGACTCCCGAGTACGGGAAGGCATCAACAGAAACATGGTGGATCCATCCCAGCACATATTCGATGATGCTCAACTTCAGATTTACACCCTAATGCACAGAGACTCCTATCCCCGCTTCATGAACTCCACAGTCTACAAGGACTTGCTGAAGTCCTTAACTGAGAAAGCAGTTGAAGCATAGGTGGCTTCAAATATATTTATTACTAAATCAAGAAAATAACTCATGGACTACATCCAGCACAGGAAATCTAGAGGTAGGATGTTCTCTGCTAGAGTGATTCTCAGACTATTGTAGCAACAAATTCTTCCTCTGCAGAGAGCTACACAGTGTAACTGCAGCCTCCTTTAGTAATACTTGTCAGAAAAAAGGTTGTGGCAGCCTTAGAAAGGGAGTGCACTCACACTCAGTAACAGTAGTGCGTTCTCAGGGCAGGGCATGCACTAGCCTTTGTTCTGCCTGCAGCTCAGACACACAAAGAAAATGGGGATACTTTTGTTTTGCATGAGTTAATACGCTGTTACCCTTCTTCCCCAAAAAAGGCATTCAAGTCTTTCTCAACTAACCCTTCCTTCAGTCTGAATACTTCACTTAGAACCATGCCAGGATTGAAAGTCACATTTCATGAAGATGTGACTATTCCTTGTTAAAAACGGTAACTGAGTGCATGCATTGTGGTGGTGGAGCCCACGTCAGTGTCGGGTGTCTGGTAAGAAAAGCAATGCTTAAGTGATTCTTCAGTCAGAAGGGATGGCCATGTAATCAGCATCTACCAGCCTGAAGAATGAATTTTCATGTTCATTGCTTGTCGTGTTCACAAAGCTTCAAATAAACATATTTTAATTTTTGTATTGAAAGACCTGGGCATTTTCACTCTGAAAAATAAAACAGAAAGGTTTTCTCTCTATCTTGAATTCTTTCGTATGGAATTCCTGGGGAACATGGATCATATAAGATGCATGCAATTCATCTTTTACCTCCCAAATGAGTGTTCTGTCTTTATATGCCAGGAATATTTTTAATCATAGCAAATGAAATTACTTCATAATTTATAGATAAAGTGGTTGTAGACCTAAGCCACTGTCTTAGGGTTTCTGTTGCTGCAACGAAACACCATGACCAAAAAGCAAGTTGGGGAAGAAAGGGTTTATGTGGTTTAGACATCCACATTGCTGTTCATTGAAGGAAGTCACCACAGAATCTCAAACATGGCAGGAACCTGGAGGCAGGAGCTGATGTAGAGGCCATGGAGGGGTGCTTTTCACTAGCTTGCTGCTCATGGCTTGCTTAGCCTACTTTCTTATAGAACCCAGAACTACCAACCCAGGGACTGTACTACCTACAATGGGCTGGGCCCTCTCCCACTGATCACTAATTGAGAAAATGCCTCACAGCTGGATCTCAAGGAGGCATTTCCTCAAATGAGACTCCTTCCTTCCTCTCTGATGACTCTAGTTTGTGTCAAGTGGACTCACAAAATCAGCCAGTACAGCCACCCTGATGAATTCCATGTCTGCCATAAATGGGAACCATAAAAGGATGGTTTTCAGAAGCAGATTAGACATTTAATCCATGAAGACCATGCCAGCTCCAGCCCTTGTACAGGAGCCTTGGCCTCCCCTTGACTGGTCCTGCAACAGGCTGACTGGCCTTATTACTCAGCTCAACCCCAAATAGAAATCCCTTTCCCTCACTCTCAACAAGCATCTCACCTCAACTTTCCATGAAGACTGTCCCTCAGCCCTTCCACTGCCCATGAACCCATGAACATGCATGGGCCAGCATCCCTCCTCACCTCCTTCAGAGCATCTCAGAAAATGATCTACTGTTTTGTGCTTTTCTTGGTGCCGTGCCTTGCATATGCTTCTGATCCCATTTTTTCCAACTATTATTTTTACTGAACAGAGGTTGTCTTAGTTCGGGTTTCTGTTGCTGTGAAGAGACACCACGACCACGGCAACTCTTATGAAGGAAAAGCATTTAATTGGAGCTGACTTACACTTTCAGAGGTTTAGTCCATTATCATCATAGTACTACACAGTGACCGGCAGGCAGACGTGATGCTGGAGAAGTAGCTAAGAGTCCTACATCTTGACATGCAGGCAACAGGAACTAGTCTAAAATGCTGGGCGGGGCTTCAGGATATATGACACCTCAGATCCTGCCTCCGCTGTGACACACTTCCTCCAAGGCAATATCTCTGAATAGTGCCACTCCCTTTGGGGGCTATTTTCTTTCAAAGCACCACAGAGGCTATAACTGTGGTTCTCCAATTGGTTATATGCCAATGGCACCTACAACTACTGCCTAAGTTCTAAAAAGGAGCAAACACAGCTCAAAGAAATGTTATATAAAGACTTTGGAAGAAGTCTCACCAGAGTATACCCCTATAGAATAAGACTGTGTATTTCATGCCAACCACTATTACAGATGGAGAAGAAGGTATTTGAATGACTGCTCCGGGTAACACTAGGGAGATCGTTCATGTGCAGGCACCTGAGTGGCCAAGAGTCTAGGCTTGGAGCTGAGTGTGGTGGCACATACCTGCAATCCCATCACTCTGGAGGCTGGAGCAGGATTTTGAGTTTGAAGCCTGGATGAGCTCTACTATTACAACACATATTCGAGACTAGATGACTGGGTGGAGGGTGAGGGGTTGTTTCAGCAACAGACATTTGAGAATCCTTGGGAAGGTAAAGCATGAAGACTATTGAGAAGCCCTTATGTGGATGAGAAGAGATGAGTTTCAAAGAAAACCTGGAAGAATTTTCCTGTACATGTAATAATGAGGTGGGGACATACTGATAAGGACAGATGTCCCAGCAGAGTTGCTGACACATCATGTCCTAGGGGTCAGCCAAGATCTGTCCACTCTTCCACACCATTGCCCCACATTGTCGGCTTGCCTCATTCCCACTAAGAACAAACAAGCCTGTGTCCATTGGCACAGTTGACACTCCTTCCTCACTAGATGCTCACAGCAGTCCCCTCCTGCCTCCACCTCATGTCCCCATCTTCACTCACACAGAGGGAGCTCTTACTATTCCAAGAAGGCATCTTGGCTATAAAGTCATTTCCAATCATCCTCTCACAGTGTGGGGGATTCCTTCCTGAAAATACTACTCCTCTGTCTTTTATGGGTCTCTCTGTATAGTCACCATGTCATTCTCTGTTCCATGTTGGGCAGCAGAACACAATAATGTAGACAGAAGTTTCTGTCCCACCTGCTGCCACAGCTGTTTGGTCCCAAAAAAACACACACAGAGGCTACATTAACTATAAACTGTTTGGCCTATTGCTCAGGCTTCCTATTGGCTAGCTCTGTCTCAACTATTAAGCCATTTCTATTAATCTGTGTATCTCCATGTAGTCTTGGCTTACTGGTGATGCCCGGGTCTCTTGCTTCCTCGGCAGCTGCATGGTGTCTCTCTTACTCTGCCTACTTCTTTTCTCTATCCCTGTTTGCTTTTCCCACCTGACTAAATCCTGCTTGACTACTGGTCAAAACAGCTTTATTCATTAACCAATAAGAGAAATACATATTCACAGCATATGGAAGGACATCCCCCATCATCTTCTCTTTTCTATCTAAATAAAAGGAAGGTTTTAATTTTAATGTAATAAAATTACAAATAACAAAACATTTAACAAGCAAGTTAACAATATTTAGTCCATTAACACTTGGCAAAATTTAAAGAAAATGTTTTATCTATCCTATTTTTGAGTCTAAAGTTTTCTATGTAACTTACCTTTTATCATAACTAAGCAAAACTATAACTATAGCTGTCTTCAAGTCCACCAAAGATCCCAGCAGGATATAACATAAATTCTAGAATTGACAGAGATATCTCGCTGCCTGTACAGTCACCCAAAATTCCTCTGTAACATTGGCGCATCCCTCCTCAGCCTATGGACCCGGAGTGTCTGACAGACTTTTCTGTGAAGCAGGAACCTTGAAAGATCATCCTGTCCCTTGTCAAGTACAGCAGTCACCTTTCTTTGTAGCCTGCTTGTCCAGTTTGGACAGCATATTGTCAAGCAGTCCAGACAGGAGCAGGTTTCTTGTCCAAATGGCTATTCCTGCCATGTTGAAGGTAAACTCTATAACGAGCTTCTTCAATGCCCATCTTCCTCTCTGATGTAACTGGTGTTGCCAGGAGCAGTTGTGTCTCATTGTCATGAAAAACCCTAATAAACCATTTTAAATACCATATTCTGTAGGTCTTTGAAAGGTTTTGAAGACTATCCATATGTAATATATTTTGTATATCTAGAAAACCTAAGTAATGTAACTACAAGTTTTGACTATTATATGTCATTATCTATAACTTGTGCTTAATTATACATTACATTTTTTAAAGAGCTGTATAAACACAATACCTAAACAAGAGCAGAAATATACATAATACCAAACTGACCTTAAATTTGTATCAATAGCTGGGCATTGGTGGCACATGCCTTTAATCCCAGCACTTGGGAGGCAGACGCAGGCCGATCTCTGTGAGTTGCCAAGAAGAGCCTGGTCTACCAGAGCTAGTTCCAGGACAGGCTACAAAGCCACAGAGAAACCCTGTCTTGAAAAACCAAAAAAATTTGTATCAATAAACCAAAATCTATATCAATGTCACATATTTATTTCTATATCATATTTCTTTTTTTGGAAAGAGATTGACTGTGATCATTAACCATTTATAATTAACCCTGTTTAAATGAAAACAAACATTTATAAACAATATTTGGGAATTTGGTTGTAGTTCTCTCCAAACTGCTTTCTGCTGTTTGGAGGTACTGTCAATTCCAAGGGGATTCTGAGGAAACCCAGAACCATGTCCAAATCCTGGCTGTAACGGTCTATCAGTCTGCACCATCTCAGCTGTTTTGGATGTTGGATCACCTGGGCCACTGCTTTAGGGGGTTTTGCTAGATCAAACCATATTAGTTAGCAAGGAATTCACAGCTTGTCATCTTCTGTTGAAACAAAAGCAGAACCTCTTTTCCTAATAACATGTCCTTAGTCTTAAATTTTTACCTCAAGGCATTTTCAAAATATATTGGTTGGATTAATTCAGCAGCATTTATACTCAACCATCTTTTAGAAGCTACTGCTCCTTCCTCAGCAGTCTAAAAATTTAAGGACAACACAATAACATACACTACCCAGACTCACTGTGTATTTTCCATCTTTTCATGGCTTTTTTAATTACTCAATTTCTCTTATTTTTATTTTTTTGTTATTTTGAGACAGGGTTTCTCTGTGTATCTTTGGTGGTCCTGTAACTCACTCTGTAGACCAGGCTGGCTTTGGGAACACAGAGATCTGCCTGCCTCTGCCTCCTGAGAGCTGGGATTAAAGGCATGTGCCACGATGCCCAGCTACTCTATTTCTTTCTTAAGGATCTTCTCTATCCTTTTTCTTTTTTCTCCCAAGCCTATATATCTTTATCTTTTTCTGACCACATGAGTCTTTTATTTGCTAAGTGGTATGGCTAGGATTAAAGAGGAGGTTTTGGCTGCTAACTCTACCCAGTTTGGCTTTCCAACATGGTGGTAGTATGTTTACTGACAGCTATGAGGACTGTGCTCACCACCTCGACTTTGGTCTATGCTGCCATCAAGCATCTTGTAACACACTGCCCATAAACCTTTTTTGTCTGTTGTTGGGGTCTGCGTAATATTATAGAAATATGTTCTACCCAGCCACGAGTTCTAAGAGCTCAGAACTTTTATTGCCTTTTAGATATTGGCTGATTACCACAGGGTGCCTAGCCTCAGTGGGAAATGGCTTCTGTTCTGTATGACAAAAGATTTAGGCCAGGGCGAGTTTACACCCACCCTGAAGGCTAGTGATATGTGCTGGTGTGGAGGGTCTGGGGGTTTGGGTATGTGCTGTAAAGAGGTGTCTCTGGG